CTGTTTAGTCAGATGAACTAGTAGGGTTCTGCTCGGACTCTGGCTATCGCAGAAGAAGGAGGCAAGACCCTCATGATCCCTCAGCTTTTTACTGAGTATGATGTATGTGGGATGGAATACCTTGTTGGTCAATTTTGGGTCATCTGGCCTGTCCGCTTCTCCTCACAGGTGCAACACCTCAGTTATGACACCCCATACAGCACCCATTTTGGGGCAGTGGCCTTGGTCTTCAGAGGCACAAGTATAAGCAAAAACTATATTTACATACCATACCTAATAGTAACTATAAACATCAAGTACTATCACTTGTAGAAATGAACACTGTCTGGAAAAACATGCCATTAGTTTCAGGATGTACAGTCACTTAGAAGAGACTTAACTGAAAAGTAAAATCACTAAATAGAAAATTAGATCTATTTAGCTCAAACCAGGACATTCCACCTCTTATTCCATACCATTTTCACCATACTCAGGTCACTACTATTTATGATTTATCTATTTACATGAAAGTTCGTTAAGTTCATTTAATCATAATTGCAAGTTTGCCGTTATCATAGCAGTCTCTCAGGGCTGAAGAGATGGTATAACACATACTACTGGTTTTGTTTTGATTTTTGTACTTGAAGTTTCATAAGGGAGTTTATAACCTCCTACACTTTGGTAAATGCTAACTAGGAATGAATTATGTTTGAAAACAGAAGCTACATAGGAATAGCTTTTTCTGATGACACTGTGCAGAGGGTTTCTGAGCTATACATTATGATGATAAAACTATCACGTGTCAAGTTAAACTGCTGATGTTTTTTCAAACAAACCAGAATTGTAACTGAACGAAGATGATAATAATTTAATTGTGTGGGTCATTAACATACGTAGATTAAAAAAATTCAACACCAATGAATGACTGAAGAAAAGTTGTGTGCCTCCACACTGCCTGTACACTATGGATTGCTCTGAAGTAATCTTTGCAATTTGAACCTCTCCAAAACAAATAAGTTAGGTGGCTCAGCTCTCACAGGTGGAACTATATAATTAATCAGAAGCTGCCATTATGGCCTTCTTCATGGCTGATTATATATATTTATTTGTTTATTCACAGCACATCTTTTATTTTTATTGCATTCAAGCCACTGACTATGAATCAGTTGACACAATTTTCAGATAATTTTCTTTTACTGATTTTACTGACAGGAAATATGTTGTTAAATGCATTGGCTAATGTAATTCTAAGTACTTCAAGTGAACTTTATACTCACTGGTATCATACACTGTGCTAAAATATAATATTAAAGCACTAGCAGTCACATACTTCTGATAGAAAGGAGTGATACAGGACTTTTCCTGGTAATACGATATGCCATTTCCTTTTTGAGAACATGGTTTCCTGGCAATCTAATTCTTATCGGGCCAGTTCCTGATTAAAAGACAAATAAATCCTGCAATGTTTAACGTCTTCAGTGATAAATATGTTCACTAAATGAGACTTCTAATTATAAATGGATTTCTAATATACAATGTTTAATGACTATCTTTCCATTTGCATGTCATTTTTCTTATCCATTATAACAGAACTTAATTCAAATGGAAAGATTTAGCTTGTCTCTACTAAGTAAAAAGGCAGGATTACAGTACTCAGTGTATTGCCCATCTCATTTCACATAACTCAACCAAGTTTTTGTTCAATCCTTAGAAAAATTCTAGACATGAACAAAAAACACACTTCATATCCAGAGTAATGCTATTATTTCTTTAATGTCATTTCCCACTCCAGACTGACATTTCTATTTCTAGGTGTTTATACTTTGAAGACAATGTTCGCATGTATGATTTTTTAATTTTAGCCTCTACAATTATCTCTGAAACCCTCTGAGTTCCTTTGACTTTTAAGAAGTCTTGGGTACTGAAAATGAATTAGAAATAAGTGCAGTAATAAATATAACTGCTTCCTTGTGCTGTAACAAAAAAAATATTATGAGCTCTTTGCTTAGTTATATTGACAGCAGTTCATTCACACTATTGAGTTCTGCTCTCTCCCCCTCCATTTTCCATCTTAGTTTTTCTGCAGACTTTCTTCACAATGGCAATCCACTGGGTCTAATTCATCTCCCAGAGCATTTCATTAGATTGGTTACTGTCTTTGGCAGCCTACTTACCCAGGAAGTCCAAAGTCCAAAGCTGTGACATTAATCAGATAGTGTGAGGCCCTGGTTCTGGGGACTGAATTATTGATGTGCGATTTTATATGATGCCTCCCTGAAATCCACATAGGAGTATCAGTAGAGTGTGTACTTATGCAGTCCTAACAAGAATTTAAAAGTGTCCAGGATAACATTCAGCAATTCCTGCCTCTTAGTGGAAGAAGATTCTTTAGGAAAAAGTATAGGTACATCACATAATTTCTGCAAATACTTACCTTTGGAAGGCTAGGATCCGCCACCTGTACTAACTGCTGGATTGCTCAAAATTAAAAGTCTGCTTATATTTGTGTAAATATTGGTTTATATTTCCTAAAGAGAATCTCAATAAAAGAGAATCTAAAGTTGTTTGTATATTCTTATTTTAGTGATAAACTGACTGAAGGAGAAGAGCTGAGGTATTATATGAGGTTGGACAGCAGTGAAGGCTTTGGGCAGGATTTCAAACCAAAATATGCAGTTAACCAGTTTTTTTTTCTGCAACCCGTTATGTATCAATTCCTTGGGAAAATTTATAATAGCAAAAGCTGATCTGTATATATTTTTGGATTCTACTTTTTAAATATTGTCACACTTAAGGACTGATCACAAAGAACTTGTAGACTTTCTTTTTGTTCTTATTTGTTAGTAAATCATCACTGTATTTCAAAGCTAAAGATATTTTATCAAGTTCAGAAGCTTGAAAGGGGTAGTTAAAGGCAAAAAACCCAAACCAAACAAAAAAAACCAACAAACCATAAATAAAATTTTACGCCGGTGCCTTTAATCTGCACAGCATTTTAAAGAAGTAGTAAGGTTGACTGTGTATTATTCATGACTGTTTCTATAATGCATGAAACTGGTAAAATGTTTAAAGAATTCTTTGTATTAAACAAAGCAGAAGAGGTAAATTTTTACACAAAAAATCAATACTATTTAAGGGAGGAGGTAGAGTAGAATGGGATGAGAGAGAAAGAGATCTCTATTTACATGGATACTGGATGGATCATTTATAGTACACTCTGAAAAATGAAAATATAACTTTAAATTTATCTTAGTGAAGATTACTGTAATACAAAGGGGAATTGTGCTATTGCTATATGCAGAGATAAGATGGTTAAACCTTTTCTGAGCATGAATGTTAGGGTGAGGTAATGCTATAACAGTAACAAATTTCCATTAATTAAAACCAAAGAAGTTTTATTTGATTTATCAAGAAATAAATCTAGCTTTCCTTAATATGCATAAATTAAGATATATATAAAGGTACACTGTGTGTTACATTGTTACCTTGCCCCAGGCAATTTCAGCATCCAAATTGCTAGGCATCCCCTGCACAGCTGATCTCTTTGTCAATTCTGCATCTGTTGCTGCAAGCCATTCTGACATAGCATTAATTTCTTTTCGTAGCTTCCGGGACAATTTCAAGCATTTCTCTAACTCTTGCTTTTTTTCTGTCACCTGCAGAAAAAGAACATGTATTTCTTAACTCTTCAAACAGGCTTCATAGTTTTTATACACCATTTTCTATATGCCACTTTTCTATAGAAGTTTGACTTGCAATTTAACAAGCCAAGTAGCACTTAATATAGTTATGTCTTGCCTTAGTTCCCTCAATATCTATTATTCTGCTGCTAAAATGCATACACCTACAAGAAAAATATGTGCATAAAGGCACATTGAATTTGAACTAGCACCAGACCTCTGCAAATCTCCTTCTCCCTTTTGAAGTTATGCATAGAAAACTAATTTGGAACAAGTGAATTAACAGATTTTCCTTGAGACACAAGAGAGACGTCAAAACCCTTTGAAGAGTATATTTTCATGTAAAAGGCCATATAGTGACACAGAACCCTCAAGGTTTTTTTCTGTATAGCTACACTACATAGAAAAAAAAACCTCTGCTAAAGAAACCCCAAAATCTTGAAACACAAAAGTCACTAAATTATGTCAAACTAAAGCAGCACATTTAACTTTAAGTTTTTAATTTCTTAGCATATTATTTTGTTGTCTGTTTAATACTCTTTAAATGTAGGGATTTTGCATAGGAGTTTGTATTTTTTTTTCAAAGCAAACTGAAAAATAAATTAAAAATCAGCAGAAATATTTATCATTAGTAAATCCTTTTCATGGTTTAATAACATTTATCTGCATCACTGCAGAACTATTTGTACATTTACGTTACATTATTTGATGCATTCTTTACTAAGCTCTCTTGCCCCTCCTCCTACCACCTCATAAAAAGATGTGTCTGACACGTTAGCATGATAGAATTTGTTTCCAGCATACAGTCAGACTCATAGCCATTCTTCAATAGGAACTCTTGTGTTTTGGTTATGATTTTACTTTCTTTCATATAGAGGAGGAAAATCAGTGTCCTCAAGCAATTGTTTGGCACTGACTAAAGATTAGGCACCTCTAAATAAATCAACAAAAGAAAAGTGAAACATACATTTTCTAGAGAAGTCAGAAGAGTAAACAAAGAGACCTCAGGTAGACATTAGGCAACTGGTAGAAAATACAAATTAATAAGTTGTTGTGATGAAGTTCAGAAAGGCAAAATAAAGAAGGCAGATTAAAAGGGTTCAGTAGGTCACTAAAATTTAAAATAAATTACTAATTACATCACATGTCAATTAGTAATTGAGTGACATTGTAGCCACTGATTTTCATTTAAGTATTTTTAAAATAAAAAATTGTCTGTGGTATTGTCAAGTACCCCAAACTAGTATCAGCATCTACCAAAACTTGCTTGGGCTTTGACACTGTTTGAGTATTAGTAGCACTATGATCAAATTGATTCCTAGCTCTACTGCCAAGGACAGGTTAAGGTTTTAAAATGTAACAGGATGTTACAAGGTTAGGTGCATGGCTTTTGCTGTCCCTAATTAAACAGATAAGGGGAATATGTCCCTGATCATATATTATCACTCTGTAGAGGCTTACTACTAAAATCTCAGAACATTTCTTTTTCACTGAATAAGCTATATGTGCTTTCTTGTATGTCAAATTTATTAAATGAGACTGCAGAACTTACAGTCAGGCCAAGGGGTAAATTCCTGGAAAGGATCATAAAATTCAGCTTTTTAGAGTTCCATTCACACATGGAGCCACGAATCCACCCAGAGTTTTCACCTCTTCTTCTGACAAGCATTAATAGGCACTGTAAGTAACTACTTGCAGGTACTTTACAGCAACACTATGTAAAGTGCACTACCCGTGCAAGTAGTGATTACTTGTGTAAGAATCCTAAATGTCTGGTATACTATAAAGTTACTGATACATGCCCAAACACAGAAAGACTGTTAGTGTTGCTACACACATCTCTAAATTCTGTATATAATATCAATAATATTACACTATGTCCAGGTACATTGTATAGATCCAGAGGTTACTGATTAATCAGTTTCTGTTTGCACAGAACATGTAAGGATGCATTTCTAAAGAAAAATAGGAAACAGTGCCCTCTAAAGGCCTTCTGTTTCATACAGCGATATCAAACTACATAAATTTTCTCTGTATTTTAAAGCTATTTTAGCTATGATAAATAGCTTACTCACAAGAATCCTTGGATGGAATAAATAAAAATAAAATGAGAAAAACAGATATTTGAATCAAAAGAAACGTATTTTACAGCCATTTATTCTCACAGCCAAAAACTCCTGTGCATTAGTGCTATTGTGAGGAAAGACTTGACCTTGTAAGTAATAGCCCCTACTGCATGCAATGCCCTTAGGAAACCAGCAAGAACATTACTACTGCGTCTTTCTTTTAGAGTCCAGCTCCCTGTTCTGATGAATTACCATAGAAAGATTGGACACAAGGATGCTTCAGACCTCACAACCACTCACAACTAACAAACTATGGAATATTTCTCTTAAATGCAGTTACTACACCATGATGTTCAAATGGCATTTTGCTTTCTTGCAATTTCATCCCAAACCTCTTTACACTGAGGCCGCTACTACAGTTTCAAAATTAGTGATCATGTTTTTAAAGCATATTTGGCTAAAAACATGGGAGAAAACTTGGTGTCCTGAACATACAAAACTCATTCCTAAATTGAAGAGAGGTTTAAGGCCTGATACTACCTGAGGAATTAGGACTATCCACAGATACTCATATCCATGTGTATATGCGGGGGAAAAAAAGAAAAAAAAAGAAAAAAAGGAAGAAATAAGAAATAAGAAAAAAACCCAACAAACTCTCACACCTTCCCTTTCTTATTAAAGGGAAGACTTTCTAGGTTTTGAGAGTCTAAAGTTGTGATACATACATAAAATATAAAGAAAAACTACAGTAGTTACAGAACTTAACATAATTTCCCTGACCATTTGAGAACCCAACACTTCAAGCATCGTTCAACATGTTTAAATTAAACCATTCCATATGTTTAAAAATGTGCTTAAAGAGTGTTTTAAATACAAGGGGACTTCCTGAATCAGTACATATGAAATCACACAAGTGAGTCTACACATTTCAGTGTGTATTCAAACTAATAATTACTATTAGTTATAACTGTTATAATTTTTCTTTTAAAAAGACAAACCTTGACTCAATGCAATCAATTAGGGCTGATAATGACTAACTGATTCTTTTAGTTCTATATCCCTGGACCTTTGTGACTCTCTCTATAACTGTTAGCTACCATGCTACATAAAAGTAAATATGAGAAATTACATCTAGGACAAGAAAGCTAAACACACTGCAGATTTTCGAGACTTTTTAAATTTGTAATATGGCTCACTTCACATCAGTAATGGCTTCATAATGACACATTTTCAACCCTTCATTAGTTAAGAGAGGTTTCCTATAACAATGGTACCTGTCTGCTGTTACATTAAACATAATGTAGGACCAAATGCTACAAAACTTTTTAAAATAACGTTTATTTAAAATAATTTTTAAATAAAATCAAAAGTACAGATTAAGCACAGCAAAGTGGTACACAAATGCCTCCGGAGGAAAGCTGCAGTAGCAAGAATTATTATCAACAGATTTTTGAACAGCAACAAATGGAAATGAAATTCTTAAGGATCTGTACAGGCAGAGGCAGAAGGTAATGATGAAGTAGAATTCTCTCCTCTATGAATTAGCTCTTTAAGGAAAAAGTGAAAAAATCACAAACAAAATCTAAATATTTTCCTGAAGTGTTTTGAAACAAGTGACTGTATAAAGCATTAAAAGGAAACAACATCCCACTCTGACCCGTAAAAAACAATGAACTACTAGTAAAAAAAAAAAACAACTTAAAAAACTAAGAAAGTTTAATTTTAAACTATAATAAAGCAAATTTATATTTTTTCTAGAAGGTTCTATTGTTTTATTAGAACAAATGAATAATGATTGCCTTTGCCTCCATTCTGTCTGTCCCACTGTCCCCTGTTTAGAAAATGTGAGGGCCTTGAACAGAACCAATAAGAAACCCCATTTGCTTACCATATCACAGTTTTGCTTCACTTCGCAAGTTAAAAAGAGGGCATAGTTTTATATGAAAAACACAGAGCTTACCTTTGCACCCAGTTCATTATATTGCAACTTCAAAGCTGTAAGCCTTTCATCCAGTTCTTTCGGGTTCTCTGTCTGCTGCTTCTGAACAATCTGTCTCCCAGTTTTTATCACTGTTTCAACTTCAGACTTCACCTCACTCAGGCTTTTATATAATTTCTAATCAAACAGAAATATGAAAGTGAAACCCCACAATTAAACTAAGTACAACAGAAAAGACTATAGAATATATCATAAAGATGCACTAGAAGACTGTATAAGAACCTCATCATAGATGAGTCTGAGCACCTTCCTCTCCTGTTTGCAAGCTAAAGAAGTTGAGAGGTGCCATGGTATGTGACCTAAGGATACAGAAAACTGACCATGAGTATGTGTGTGTATTAAAAAAACAACACTGTTTATGAGAAAAATTCATTAGTTTCTAAAGCAAAACTCATATGAATGGATTCAGAACTGGCTATCTTTACTAATACTGGTTTCAAAAACTTGTCACCAAAACCAGTAGTAGAAATGTTATAGATAAGAAAGTACATACTGTCACTAATTTTTATAAGATATGACAAAGGTTGTTTTCAAACTGATTTAGATGACTCAGTATTTATAACAACAACAGATGTCTTCTGTCAAGTCATACAGCTTGTTGGATGTATCTAAACTGCAGATAGCCATTAAACTCACGTAAAAATCTGTCAGTTTTTCACAGTACTAAATCAAGAGACTGGTAGGTTAGAGGATTTCCCCTACAGTTACTAAGTGTAATACTGTTCACAACATTAAATAATTAAAAATCTACATGAAAAAGTATTTTAATGAGGTTAAATAATAATATATATTGAATAAGCAAGCAATCTGTAAACACAGTACATTTTCCTAATATTTCAAATGAGTCATACTAAGAATAGCATAGCATTCTTTCTTTCTATATGCAAAGATTTGGTATCATTATCTAAACCTATGACTTGGCATCTCAGGTAATTTAACAGCCTTATAAATGTCCAAATTAGCATTCATATAAGTACAGCAGAAGTTGAAATTAGTTCTTTTTAACCTAAGGTTAAATTCTTCCATGATGTGGAAAGTCCACATTGGAAAAGTACTCCAGAGAGATACACAGTGTCCATACCACACAGGTATGCGAATGTGAAGCTGCTGAGAAGCTTTATTGTTGAGTTATCTAGCTGAAATCTGTGTTCTAGCATTTTGCCATCATGTGTTGGAAACTAAACTTACTGTCCTGTACAGTTTGACAGAACTGCAAAATAAATTACACTGTATGTTTTTATTCTGTAATTTTTTAGTTTTTCTCTTAGTAGCAGTATCTCCCACAATGAAAAATCTGTGTCTAGCACATCTGGACAGTAAAGACAAGAGTTTTTTTCCAGAAGAGCTGACAACAAAAAAAAATAAACACATTTTCTCCATAATCTAGAGTTAATTACCAAGCCAATTCTAAACATGGTTTTTATTTTATTTATGTAGAGGTGGTATGTATGTAGTCCAAATGCTTTCTAGGTGCTTAATATGATAAATACATTCTTAACCACTGAAAATCTGCCAGCAATTTTGGAAGCTGTTGTATGATGCACATTTGCTAACATCTGATGGGATATTATTACTAGATTTTTATAATAAAAATTTATGTAAAATTATGTAATTCTTTGAAGATAAAGATGCCCTAAAAACAATGTAAGTCTTCCACAGAATATGACAGGGCTGCAAAAAACTAGCTGCTGAGTGAAAATACTTTAATACAGTATAAAGCTTCTCATTACCATGTCATTTTGATAAGAAAATTAAGGGCAATTGCATTTAAGAAAAACCCAAGATGCAAAGAAATAACATAGACTTGTTTCACACTTATTTTTAATATAAATGCTTACATTTAGATATGAGAGAGGTTGAGGAAAAAAAAATCTTCAAACATGTCATTGCTCCAGAAAAAAACCCAAAACAAACAACAAAAACAAACTAAACAGCAAAAACACCAAACAGTTAAAGACAAGGATCTGATTGTGCTGATTTTTGCTGTTAAAACCTCTATTGTATTATCATCAAATACATGGTGTTTACCCCTTCAACCGTAAAGGGGGACAGGATTACAGTGATATTGGATACATACTAATTTTTCTCATATTTTTAGGACATATTCAAGTGTTCCTTTGCTCTTGTAAGAAAGTTATAGGATGCCATCTCATGGAAGCTGTAATCTATGTTTTTCATTTATAATTTGTGTTCCCTGGCTAGAAGAGACTTGTGCATTGCTAAATCTTTTTTGGTTATATCATGAAGGTCCATGATAGAAGCATATTGTAGAAAATAGAGCCCATCCAGGGACATAAATTCATATGCAAGATCAGAAGGGGGAATTAGAAAGGGATCCTGACTGGCCTTCTCATAGTGAAATTGCATGACCGTTGTTTGAAAGTTCACTGAAATAAGAATGGTTAGATATTTTAATTTTTTTAATTTAATGAGTAACTGATACTTTGTTTCTCATTGTGAATTCAGGAAAATATTCTGTAATCTTTCACTTTCTCCAGATAAATCCATATTTTAATTTTTTTCAGTAATTTAATTTGCATCCCATGCTTCTGAGGGGTCTTTGCCATGGCAGAAGAAGAGATCATAAAGAAATGAAAAGGCTACTGTAAGACTGTTAGAAATATTTCAACAAGTTATCATATCCTGGGAAACTTTGAAATGTAATACAATTTGAAGTGTACAATATCCTTCAAACCTCACTTTCAAGCAAGAGAAGTAGGATGAGGAGGATTAACCCCTTCTCTCTACCCTCCTCTCCTTGAAAAAAAGAAATCTTTAACTAAAAAGGTTCTTACACCTTTCACTGTGTAATTTTGCTCTTAAATCTTTCTCAGAATCTTTTATAACATCTCCCAAAGAAATATTGATATCATCATTGAAAAGACTTTAAATTTGAAAGACAGAACAGGCAGGAAACAAATAGAAAACAGCATCTTTGAATACTCACCATGCAATGATCCAGCTGTGATTGTACTACTTCCTGCTCAACACTCCTCATCTCCAACTTGGGCACCTGCAGCTTCACTTCATCTAAAATTCTTTTACATTCTTGTAAGCGCTGTTCAAAGTTAGCTGGCTTCTGAAACAAGCGAAACTTCACAGAGACATCCTGCAGCTTTTTCTGAAAAGTAAACATGGTGGAGTAGTAAATGTAAAATCAAATTGACACTGAGGACAAGTCTTAGACCTGCTTCAGAACACTTAGAATCCATTATTAATCAGCAGTTTCTTATTTAATGAATTTAAAACTTTTGGGGAAAATACCAGCAGCAGAGACTCTCGGTTTTCACAGGAGGAAAAAAAAATTTAAAATTATCATCCAGGTGACTGGATGCAGCAGAGCCAGTGACAAAGGAGCCCACAGACTCAACTGAAGAAAGGGAGAGTTTTCATGTTTTCAATATGCAAAATATTGGGGGGTGGGGTGAGAACAGAGGTTTAATGGCTTGAGCATAACAAATTCAAGTTTCAGAGTGGATGCTCATCAGCTCTTATCGTGTTGCTGCTTATTGGTGTGAGGACTGAATCTTTAGATCCCTCAAAGAAACCCTAATAAAGCAAGTAGGTCTAGCACAAAACCTGAGATTTAAGAGTACAAAAACTGATTTCTATTTTAATTTCAAGAAGCATAACCTAGAGTAAAATTAAAGTAATTTGAAGGCAGAAAAATCTATGACAAGCATGGCTTCTAATTTTACAATTTTTACAATTGATTATCTTTGTGCATTAATTATATTGCTTGCTCACATGATGCCTAGCTCAAAGGGAGGGAAAATAATTAAAAATAAAGCAAAGAAAGAGCATCTTAATTATCTACTTGAATAAGAACGAATTCCTCCTTAGATGTACAAAGTACTGTAGAATAAGTTTTTCTACTGCTTGAAAAAAAAAGAAAGAAAGTCACTAAGAAATGGTTAAGAAATTAAATAGGAACTCAGCATCTGCAAACACACTCAATTTTTTAATCTTCAAATCCTGGACACTTTATACTCATATGTTGTCTGTACTATACAAACTTAAGAAAAATGATAATAAGGAACAGAATTAGCCTATAGAGAGGCATTATAATAATGCTTCCCACATCTATCAGCTTTCAGTGAAGGAGGCAGGAATCATGAGAAGAGGACAATTCTGGGTAATACAGAAAATCCTGTAGATTTCCAGCAGCTCCTTCCAAAAACTTTCTTCATTAAATACTTAGTGAAATTGAGTTCCAATGACG